TTCTTTACTGGATAAAATTTTTATCTTATTCAGTTGTGCACATATGTTTTTTGGATGAACATTTTTAAAATGTATACATATCTGAGAGGGGTCTGGCTGTAAACTCGGTGCAGTTGCAATCTGAGCTGCATCCAATACTTTTTAATGGGTTCACCTAACCTCACCCCTTACAGTGACGTCACTAGCTCCATTGTGTGCATTGTATCTGACATTGCATCGCTGAGAAATGCAATCTCAGCTTGCATCATAAAGTCTGCATCCAGATACTATTGACACCTCTTGGTGTTAAATTAAGCATCTTTTATATGATAATCCATAATATGCCTAAAAATACTGTAGGTGGATGAAAACCAGTGGTGTAAAGTAACAAATTACAAATACTCAATCTACTGTAATTGAGTAGTTTTTCTCAGAATTTGTAATTTACTAAGTAGTTTTAAAAATATGTACTGTTACTTTCCCTTGAGTACATTTTTAGTGCAGTATCAGTACTTTTACTCTGCTACTTTCTTTTAACCTGAAGTCACTACTTTATTTTTTCTTGTCTATGGGGATTCGAAAAATCAGTCCTGTGATTCCTGTCCAATCAAATCACACATACGATAAATCCCATCATAATGTACAACGTCAAGACACGGCCGATTTATAATTGCAGCTGACTGTTAGGAAGCATTAAAAGTGTCCAAGAAGATGTCCAAGGTCTTTACATGCATACCCAGAGACTGTTAAGATCAGAGATGTAAAACACTAGGGCCAGGCTCAAAAGTTGGCCCATGGTAACCTTTGATTTGGCCCACCAACCAATCAGAGAAGAGGTGGACAAATGATGGGGAAGGTTGGGGTGAATTCCTCAAACAGAGATCATCATTTCTAATTTTACATAACCTTTTGTTTGTTTGTTTATTTGCTTAGCTACCAAAAAAAAGCAAAACTAAAATGAAATGTTTCAATTTAATGTGAATTAATCAGATTTTTATAGCGTCATGACATATATATTGTGTTATAAATGAGATTGTTTATGGTTTTATTGTAAGAAGTACATTATAAAATTTAATATAAGATATTCATTCATTCATTTTCTTGTCGGCTTAGTCCCTTTATTAATCCGGGGTCGCCACAGCGGAATGAACCGCCAACTTATCCAGCAAGTTTTTACGCAGCGGATGCCCTTCCAGCCGCAACCCATCTCTGGGAAATAATATAAGATATAATCAGATATAATTACTGATATGATTAAAGTATTTTTTTCTATATATTTTTATTATATTATTAAGTTCAGAAGTTACCATGGCAACTTTAATGTGATAGAGTTTGGTATATTTGGCTTCGGCCCACCACTCTCAATTAAGTTAGGATTTTGGCCCTTTATAAGAAAAGGTTTGGGCACCCCTGGTTTAGATGCATGTCACTGATTATAAGAAGACAGATGTTTACGATGATCGAAATGGCCTTTAACACCCAGAAGGCACAGGACGTCAACATGATGTCAGATTGACGTGGTGGTATCCCAACGTCGTAGGGACGTTGCGTTTTAATTGGAAATGAAAATTGAGATGACATCAGAATTCAAAATCAGGCTGATGTCAATGTCCAATGTCCAACCTAAAATCAACCAAATATCAACATCTAATGATGTTACAGCTTGACGTTGCGTGGACGTTACCATCATGACGTCAATCAGATGTTGGATTTTGGTTGCCATACATAGCGAATAAATTATTTGACGTCAATATGATGTTGGTTTAAGATACTGGCTAGACACTGAATTTTGGTCACCTGACATTATAACCTAAATCTAACCTAATATTTAAATCTTATGACTTTGTGTGCCTGATGGGCAATAACTAAATGCACAACAGAATGTTACAATTACACACATCCGCAAATTACAGGTAAATGCATCAGCTTTTTACAGCGTAATACTCATTACTCGCTACTCTTTAAAGGTCTCATATTTTTAGTAATATTTACAACATATACTTTTACTGTACTTAAACTACAATTTTAGGCAAATAATGGTGGTTTTACTTAAGTATGATTGTTCAGTACTCTTTCCACCACTGATGAAAACATAGAAAGTGTTTGTTATTTAACCTTCTCAGACTCATCCATGTCTACGCTAAACAAGAGATGATTTAGTTTGGACTAGAGCTGCACAATATATTGTTTCAGCATCAATATCGCAATGTGTGTGTCCGCAATAGTCACATCGCTGGATTTGCAATGTTAAATTGGGATAATAATGAATCAACAATTGAGCATGCATGAGATTTGTGGAGTCATTGCAACGTTTAAGCAGAACAGAGTGAAATTCTATCATTTGCATGTGTTTTAAAGGTATTTCAAAATAGTGTAAAGTATTCGAGCACAATAATGTATAACAATTGTAACTTTAATAAAGAAAAATGACTGATTTATTAATACAATAAAGACTATGCAGTTATTCTACAACATTTCTGTATTTGAATACTGTTTGACTCCCCAGAAAACCATTTAAACTGTATTTATTTTTTTCTTTGCTCCTATTGTAATTACTCTCGCAATTCTATTTTTTTATACATGATTTACACCCTTACAAAATCAACCCAACCAATCTAAATTAATCATTTTTCAGAAATAAATCTATTCAAGTATTTTTTTTCAAATAAATCTATTCAAGTCAAGAAATTTAATTCATATAATAATTCATATTTCCAATATCATGCAGCCCTAGTTTGGACCTACAAATAATAATACTAACACTAAAACAATATCTAGCTTAAATCAGAATGAAATGTAACTTTTAAAATATATGCAAGGTTCAATTGACAGCTGTAACACTTCATCTCACTATTTTGTTTTAGTCGGAACCTTCAGAGGTTTAATCTGACAAAAAATCTGAACATGACATGACAAACTTCATCGCATACTCCTCCCTGACTGCACAAAAAAAAAAAACAATATAGGTCAGATGTGTCAGTTTTGCAAATCGCTCAATGCTGTCCAGGCTTAAAACAAGACTGCAAACACTGTTAAAGACTCCAACACAAACCCCCCAAAACAAACAAACAAACAATCAAAAAATCATACAGATTATATGTGTTGTCAACTGACATGTTACCTGTAAATTGTATAGCTTAATTAACATGACTGATGCCATTTTGTAACGTCCGTCCCTGATTTTAGTCAGACTATTGACTAATATATATATATTAGTATTTATTAATAAGTAATATTGTTTCTGGTAACACTTTATTTTGATGTTTTATTTGAGTATTAGTGGACTGTCAGATTAATATTTGTTGATATGCTCCTTCAACAGACATTTAACTGACTATAAGAAACTTTGCAATTACAAGTCAACTTACACTAACCCTAAACCTATCCCCAACCTAACAGTCTACTTATAATCTAATGAGAATTAGTTGGCATGTAGATGCAATGTAAAATGAGTTCAACAAACAGACCATCAAAATAATGTGTAATCTTGTTTTTTTAGTCTCACCAAAAAAAAAAAAAAAAAAACATGTGCAGTATCAGTTAAACTGTGCAATATAAAAAATATTATTGGTTTATTTAGACCGAAACAAAGTGTTTTTAAGCTCTGATTAACACAACTGTAACTTTTTATTTCAACACATGATTTGGGTCAGACTAATGACATATATATTAACATATATTAATGGCTGATATTGTTTGTTAGTCTGACTGAAGTTACAGCTTAAATAGATTTAAGATTACAGGTAAGATTTCTGTCAAACTGGGCAAAAAATCAGCATTCTCAGTTGAACTGTGTCAATAATAATAAAAGACAGGTTTATATAAACTGTTTTTAAGCTGTAATTAACATAACTGTAAGCTTTTATCTCAAGACATGATTTGGGTCAGTCTAACGACTAATATATATAAATAAATGACTGATATTGTTTGTTAGTCTGATTAAGATCAAAGCTTAAATAGGCTTAAGATTACAGGTAAGATTTCAGTCAAACTGTGCAAAAAAAAAAAAAAAACTGCATAGTTTCAGTCGAACTGTACTACTACTAATAATAATAATCATAATAATATTAACAATACTAATACAACAGGTTTATTTAAACTGTAAAGTGTTTTTAAGCTCTAATTTAACACAACTTTTACCCTTAAAACATGATTTGTTTCAGACTATAGTCTGAATTATTAGCCCCCTTTGATTTTTTTTCTTTTTTAAATATTTCCTAAATGACTTTTAACAGAGAAAGGACATTTTCACAGCATGCCTGATAATATATTTTCTCCTCGAAAAAGTCTTGTTTAATTTTGGGTAAAATAAAAGCAGTTTTACATTTTTTTATGAACCATTTTAAGGTCAAATTGTTTTCGATTGTCTACCGAACAAACCATCGTTATACAGTAACTAGCCTAATTACCCTAACCTGCCAACTTAACCTAATTAACCTAGTTAAGCTATTAAATGTCACTTTAAGCTGTACAGAAGTGTCCTGAAAAATATCTAGTAAAATTTTATTTACTGTCATCATGGCAAAGATAAAATAAATCAGTTATTAGAAATGAGTTATTTAAACTATTATGATTAGAAATGTGTTGAAAAAAAAAAAAAACAAGAGGGCTAATAATTCATGGGGGGCTAATAATTCTGACTTCAAATGTATATTAATGACTGATATCGTTTGTTAGTCTGATCAAAATCAAGGTTAAAAAAGACTAAGATTACAGGTAAGATTTCAGTCAAACTGTGCAAAAAACAAAACAAAACAAAAACTTCATTTGAAACGTGCCAATAAAAACATCAACAACATAAATTTATTTAGACTGAAATGTTACTTGTAAAATGTTTTTATGCTCTGATTGACACACCTGTAACCTTTTATCTCAAGACATGATTTGGGTGAGACTAACCACTAATTACAACTAATTGCATGAAGATTTCAAACTTCGCACAAGCTTCACCTAACACGACTCTAACACCTCATATCTCAGCCCCCGTCCCGTAAGAGAGGAAATGAAGCAGCGGTGCTCACCCAGTGTCTGATGAAACTCACCCGACACCGGGGTCATGGGGGTGGGCGGCAGGCTGTTGATATTGAGCGCCCCCATCTGGTGGATCTGGGTGGTGGGAAAGGCCACGCTGGGCGCCAGGTATCCTCCGTGACTGGCAGCCATGAGGGCCGCCTGCTGTTGCATCAGCTGCCGGATAGAGATAGAGAGAGAAAAACAACAGAGAGAGAGAGAGAGAGAGAGAGAGAGAAAAGTTACTAGAAGCACACGGGCTACATGTGGGCATGATGGATAGGCAGTGCTTCACAGAGTAGAAGAGAAAGTAGAGCGGAAAAAGAGAAAAATGTGTCAACCTATGTTTAGTGAAAGCGTCCATCTTCCCAGTCAGAGGCCTGTCACAAAGCCCCTCCAAACATTTCAATAGCTGTCGGTCTGGCTCATTCTAATGGAGGGATCCACGCGCATATTATTGTAGTCCTTAAGGGACCTGGGAGTTCCGAGCAGGAACAATTGAATTGTATTCTTTTTTTTTCAAACTTTAAGATGATGCTTCTTCATGGCCTTGACAGAGGAACTTCTGTTTCCCCTCGTATTTTTCTTCACAACGCGACAGCTATCAGGGCAGAATATATCAGGGTTACGCTGAAGCAGATATTTTTAGATTCAGGCTAAATGAGCATTAAGCCATACCTCATGCAAGATTACATGCATCATATACCAGAAATGTCAACATATTTTCTATTCTAACATCCACATGTAGATTATGTCGAAAAAGATGCTCTGTTGAATTTGTTGTGAGTGAAAATGAAAATGGCAATAGTTATCAGCTAAATATTCTACAATTGCAATATCTTGGTTGGCTGGTCTAGATTTTGCTATTTTGGTTGGGCTAAAAATGGAATAATGAATTAAATGTAGCATTTAGAGCAGTGGTTCTCAAACTGTGGTACGTGTACCACTAGTGGTACGCGGGCTTCCTTCTAGTGGTACGCGGAGGAATGAAATATGTCATATACATGCTACATATATTTTAAAATTTATCAAAAATGATGTATATAATATGCCATATATGACATATAGCCTATATTTCTGAGGTAATCTGCCACGTTTTTTTTAACTGTGCAGAGTTGTAGCCGCTTTACTGAGCCTACTACGCTACTGTATTTCAATACTGCTCATTTTGGTGGTACTTGGAAAGACAATTTTTTTCTGAGGTGGTACTTGATGAAAAAAGTTTGAGAACCACTGATTTAGAGTGTATAAACTTTGACTAACATGACTTAAAACTTGACCCAGAAAAAAAACATATATCAGTCAGGCTAAAGATGAAAGATGGTGGGTGTTGACGCTATTTGAATTTGTGGAAATGAAGCTATTTGGAAACTATTTTGTCGATCTCTACCTTTTGGGGGGGAATAAAAACAAGGCTGATTATAGCTGTTTACAAGGAATTAAATAAATAAATAAATAAATAAATAAATAAATAAATAAATGTAACGTACTGTATTAAGGTGGTATATTTAACTACATGATTGACTCCAATGAAAAGCAACTAATCACACATTTTTTATGGCTGTAAAAAAAATTTAAGATGTTTTGTTGTAATAAAAGTCAATGGTTTCCAGAAAAGTTTGGTAAGCACTGTTATTCAATATTTCTTCTTGTTATTTAAATGTTCCATCAAAAAAAAAAGTCATTCAGGTTAAAACTATTAGAGTGAGTAAAAGATGACAGTACTATATACATTTGAAGTCAGAATTATTAGCCCCCCTGAATTATTAGCCCTCCTCTTTATTTTTTCTCAAGTTTCTAATTAGCAAAAAGATTTTTTTCAACACATTTCTAATCATAATAGTCTTAATAACTAATTTCTAATAACTGATTTATTTGATCTTTGCCATGATGACAGTAAATAGCATTTTACTAGATATTTTTCAAGACACGTCTATACAGCTTAAAGGGACATTTAAAGGCTTACATAGGGTTAATTAGGTTGACTAGGCAAGTTAGGGTAATTAGGCAAGTTATTGTATAACGATGGTTTGTTCTGTAGACTATCGGAAAAAAATAGCTTAAAGAGACTAATAATTTTGTCCTAAAAATGGTGCTTAAAAAAAATAACTGCTTTTATTCTAGCTGAATTAAAATAAATAAGACTTTCTCCTTATGATAAAATATTATCAGACACACTGTGAAAATTTCCTTACTCTGTTAAACATAATTTGGGAAATATTTAAAAAAGAAAAAAAATCAAAGGGGTGCTTATAATTCTGACTTCAACTGTATATATTAGGGCTGCACAATATTGGAAAAATTTGACATTGCGATATATATTGCGATGTATATTGTGATATGAATAAAATTTCGCCAGATGACTGAATAGCTCTATTTGGAAAGATTTAGCTAATTTAGATCCACTATAAGGTGATCAAGTATTTTTCTATGCCTTACATCTGCATAAAATGAAATAAATTAAGCATATATAAATACAACAGAATAAATACAACAGAGAACAAATAAAGGTTCAGTAAATAGTGAGTTACGGTTATATGGCCAAACAGTATTCAAATACAAAAATTGAGCAATCAACTGTAAAATCATTTGATCATCATTGTGTAAATAATTTTATGCAATAATATGAATATAATCTTTAATAATATATATATATTTACATTTAATTTTGAATTAATAACCTAATCCTATATGAACTAGCTAACTAATCAAAACTAACTAAATTTAAAAAATGACATGGTTGCCCTTACATTTTTTAACCTATATTAAGTTATAATTAAGCTATATTAACCTATATAAGACTTATTTTAACCTAAATTAAATTAAACTGAGTTAAAACAGCTTGAATAACTTTAATTTGACTTAAACATTAGTTTAATAAGCTATATTTAACTTTAAAACGTATATTGTCATGCCATATTGATCATAACATTTTTTTCAGCACATCTCACAAGGACATGTAACTACGCTGCATATTGCCAGAAAAGAGGCTATATCCTATCAATTCATTAGATTTTTTTTGTATAAAAACATGTCCCTAAACATCCCCCTCAGTATGGGATGAGCAAATTGCACTAAAATGTACAAATGAAATCATACAAATTAATATGAATTAACCACTAAATCAAAACGTTACGAATTTCTGTGAAACTGCATTGAATTTTTACATTTGCATTTTTATCTAGATTTCTTTTATATAAATGGCATTTTTATGCACTAAAGCAGTGTTTGTATTATACATCTTCACAAACACAATGCATACGACAATGCTTTGTTCACAACAAATTAAACATTCAACACTGTCCTCTCACACTAAAAACAACCCTTCTGAAAACGAGGCTTACATTAAACTATTGCCATTAAACTCAACAATGCTACAACTAATCCAGCATCATTCATGCACATACCAGCATTCATTTCCCACCGAGGAAACAAGGGCAGAAATAAACGCAATAATCATCCGGCTGCCACTCTTCATCTGAATGCTGAGGATGATATTGTTCATGCTTTGCTCTCCATCGGCCGATAGCAGAAAGGCAATCATATTCTCTCATTGGCCTTGTCACTGAGCCTGAAAGATGCAGTCCACCCACAAAACAAATCTATAAGCCTCAACTGTCTATAAACTCCTCCTCACATCTGCATAATCCCAGCTACAAACTGCACACCAGCAGCTGCTAGAATAGGTCGGAAATCTCTCAGTTCTCACAAGGAAACATTGTAAGAATAGGATTGTAAGAAAAGGGTTTTATTTGTAGGAATTTTTATGACTTAATATGTATCAAAACGTATGATTTTTTTAAGGATACATGTCCTTAAACCCCACCCCGAACCCTACCCCTCATTGGGGGATGAGCAAATTGTACTAAAATATACACATCAGATCGTACAAATTAATATGAATTAGCCACTAATCAAAAGTTATGAATTTCGTTAGGGAAACCAGTAGCAGTGCTGTGATCACCAGCAATCTGGGAGTTGCAAATAGCTGGAGAACTACACACGTCAAAGGAACGAACTACAACTCCCAGCATACACCTTGCACACACCAGTTCCTGTTTCCCACTGATTACATTCACACAACTAGTAACTCATCATGGAATAATAAGCTGGACTTTATATTCAACCCTCACACACACACACATGGCTGAGTCTTTTGTAACAGTAGACACTGGACAACTGAGATGAAGGATCTACTTGTAGTTTATTATAAGCTAAGTCAAACGGGTGTAGTTCATAACAGGAACAAACAGGAGCATGAGGGTAATCCAAAGACCATTGTTATAACAGGGAAATAGTCAGAACAAGCAAATAATCAATAAATGGTAAACCACACAAAGATTAAAACATATGGCTGGTCAAACAGGGAAATATGCATAAACAGCTTCACAGGAAAACAAGACTGCCACGTGTGTGTGTGTGTGTGTGTGTGTGTGTGTGAGGGGTGAATATAAAGTCCAGCTAATCAGTCAGGATGCATTACCAGTTGTGTTAGTGTAATCAGTGGGCAACAGGAACTGGTGTGTGCAAGGTGCATGCAGGGAGTTGTAGTTAGTTCCTTAGATCCAGATCGCCGGCGATTACAACAAGCAAGAACAAATTAGATTTAAAAAAAAAAGACGGAGCATGCCTAATATAGTTTTTTTAATAGTTTAACACTTATACAGGGAGAATATTTATATTCATACATATTTAAATAGAATATATAGTCAAGATGCTATATAAAGCGAAAATAGATGTATAATACAAACAAATTTATAAACAATAGCCCCTTTCATAGGGCGATACCAGTAAATGTCTGGAAAATTACTGGAATGACTTTACTGGTAAAATCAAAAAAGCGTTGTTCACACAGGCAAGAACGTCACGGAATGTTTCGGGAAAAGACCATTCACACATCCATTCCAAAATACTGGTAAATTTTAATATCATTAACCAGAAATGAGCTCTAAACAGCTGCGCTTGTATTTGTAAACATAGAAGGGGTCAGCCTTTTGTTGATGGTGGCTGGTGACATTACATAATATGTGTGTGTGCTGGCGCTCACCAGCTGCCTCACATGCACGCGTCAAGCAACTGAAGGAAGCAGAGCTTAAAGGTAAACAAACAGCAGTTTTTCATAAGCATATTATTGATAATTTTTTCCAGACTTGGCTTTTAGGAACATTATCTGACTA